TGACGATATCCATTTTTCCAATTTTTTCACTTTATCCATTGCACTCAAATATCTGAAAACTGTTATTGGAAATACGTCTCTCTGCTTCCACTTTGGCTTTCGATTTATTAACAGTCCTCTCATCGATAGAATCTTCTCCGAAAGCTAACCTAATATTTCGATATGCACTGTAGTCCAAGTTAAACTCGTACAAGAATAATATTCTCAATTCGTTCACTTCTCAAAAAACAGTTAAACCAATACAAAAAAGAACTTACTATACAAAAGAGATATAAGAGGACGTCAAAATATGCTAAGCAAAATATAGGTTAAGTAAAGTTTACATGTCGCGGTTGATTGTCATTTATTCTAAACTTGGCAACTTCACGTGGTACAATCTAATGCGTGGAAGGTATATTAAGGTATATTTCGAGCAAAAGTAACTAAATTTATAAGTTAAATAATATTTGTCGCATAATGTAACGTGAACGGTATATTTTTGTTTTATCATGAAAAAAGTGATTTTTTTTTGAAATTTTGATCGCTGTAATTTACGAAAACGTTAACTTCGTTTAACGATCTTGAATAATCACGAGCTAGTGTACCGTTTAAATTCTCATGAACGTGATGGTAGTATAGTTAAAGCTGGTACGATGTACTAACGGAAGCCCTAAGGCGGTTTAATTGTGTACGTTTTCTGTGGATTCTCGCGGGAACGACCCGAGGTTTAGGGCTCGTGAGTGACCCTATAAATTCACGTAATCTGATTTCGAGAGCAGTGAAACCGGCTTCCCTTTCGAAATCGAACCGGAGAATAATAGATTTCCGTGATTTCCGGCGACGTTTTTCCGTCAAATATTGATGGTTAGTGAATGTTGTTGAAAGTGGTCGGAAATTCCAAGGTAATCAAAGGAAATAACCAAAGACAACACGTTTTAATTAACTCGAAGGAACTTGAAATTATTTGTTTTTTTAGTAGATTAAATTCACAAAAAAAAGTTATTATATATAAGTTATATTATATATAATTATATATTATATATTATATATTATATATTATATATATTATATATAAGTTATATATAAAGTTATTATATATATAAGTAAAAAAAAAAAAAAAAAATGAAAAGTTTAAAAATCTTTCATTTCCTACCGGTAGTAAAGTGTAAACAAAAAGTGAAGACAAGATATTGAAGGAAAATTGAATCGGATACAGGCAAATATTTAACCAATTTGAGAGTTGGGCTGTTTTATCAAGCGAGAATACGCGAATAAATGTTTCGAGAATGATAAGAAGTGATTAATATCCGTGGAATCAAATCATCGTAACTAATTTACAACCTGTAAACGGAAATTCTGGTTTACAATAACAGAAGGTAACAAGAAACTTGCGATGTCTTCGCAGATTTCGCCCTTGCAATCTGGTAAAACAAGAAACGCTGTGCCACCCTCAACGAGTTACGAACTTTCATTTGTCCCACCCTAACCATTTCCTATCGGTCAAAACAATTTCGCAGTTCCTTAATAGGCTTCACAAATCAACCCGACTCGAATATCGGATCGGAAGTTAAATTTTCAAACGAAACGATATTACGATTGCGAAAAAAGAAAGAGGGGGGGAAAAAAAAAAATTGGGAACCGATTTTTACAAAAATGTTTTCGATATTGGATCGTATGTCATACCTTTTCTCACACTTCTGTCCTTTTTATTAAAATTCTTATGAATTTAGTTGAAATATACGATCATATAATTTACACTTAGAATCATTTTTTCTAGATATTTGATATAGAAGAATCGAATATATTCATAACGATTTCGGGAAAAGAATAGCGAGAAGATCTGTTGAAAATGGATATCTCTCGCGAGGTATACAAATTAAAATTTTTTTAAACATGTGACGAGTTATGCTAACGTAATACTCTCTAAAAAAAAAAAATCATCGAAGATGAAACGAAGAAATTCTCAAATTCGCAATTTATCCACATTGAATCCCCTTCTCTTAAACCACTCCAGGAAACCGATAATTTTTTTCTCAAAGTTCCGCAACACGATTTTATTAACCCATTTATTTCTTCCAGATCATTTCAGAATGGAATTAGGGGGGGAGGAGGGGTGCGATACCACGATGTTATTAC